ACATGTCGGGGGCTTGTCATGTCATGGCATGACATGGCATGCATAGAATACATGTCGGGGGCTTGTCATGTTAGGGCATGGCATGGCATGCATGGAATACATGTCGGGGGCTTGTCATGTCATGGCATGCCATGGAATACATGTCGGGGGCTTGTCATGTCATGGCATGCCATGGAATACATGTCGGGGGCTTGTCATGTTATAGGGCATGGCATAGCACGCATGGATTACATGTCGGGGATTGCCATGTCATGGCATGCATGGAATACATGTCGGGGATTGTCATGTCGCCATGCATCTACGTTGCCATGCCATGTCCAGTGGTTCAAAAGCTGAGCCGTGCAGCCAAACACTTCAGAACTTTGGCCGGATTAGTGCTCCTGACCTGTTTATGTTTGCCGAAGAAGCCGTGTGGGCACCGCAATGATGTTGTACTGTAATCCTGCTGCGACCCCGCCACGCCATTCGGCTCAACAGGCCCAACAGGCTTTTATGCAATCTTGGGTTGATGTGTTGATTCTAACAATTCTCAGAGTCTCAGGGATCATAAAATGATGAAAAACAGGAAAGTACTTGTCACTGATTTGTGACTGTTCATCTTTGTTTCACTGTTGGCCGTGCACGTTGACTAAGAGCAAAGTTCTCTCACGTCTTCGATGGCGGCTGGTTCCACTGGGGCTATCTACGGGAATATCCAACTCATTGCATGCGGTCGCAAGTTTGAGTACCGTGGATTTCAGGGACCGTAGCTTGATTTGCAATTGCCATTGACTAATGACCTGACATGACCATGTCACATGAACTGTAACAGTGTAGCATGACCTGTCACATGAGCTGTCACATGACCTGTAGCATGGACTCTTGTTCGGCAAGTATTGACGGGATGTGACAGTGCGTATGGTCACTGAGGGGGGACTCAACTGACGGTGCCTTGGTGCTCAACTTCCAAACGGGGTGGGGGCGAACTTACTTCTTTTTGGGTGGCGTTGTGCCATGGTTGCTTGTTTTTGCATGTGCTAGGATATGCTGTGTGATGATCTGATATCTAGGTTGGGCACCGCAATCATGTGCATGACTTTGGGGCCAATACACACGGTCATGTCATTTTCATTGGAGCGCCTGAGGCTTCCGCAGAGAACTTGTACCTCCAAGAACTTCACCCCAGGATTTTATCATCATGGAAGTATATGCGGACACTCTCTTCCCTCATCGTATCCTGAAATGACATTGCAGTTGTGTTGGATGACATGGCATGGTTTGACATGATGACATGGCATGGTTTGACATGATGACATGGCATGGTTTGACATGATGACATGGCATGGTTTGACATGATGACATGGCATGGTTTGACATGATGACATGGCATGGTTTGACATGATGACATGGCATGGTTTGACATGATGACATGGCATGGTTTGACATGATGACATGGCATGGTTTGACATGATGACATGGCATGGCATGGCACGGTTTGACACAATGATATGACTTGCCATGAGTTGTTAGGATGACATGACATGACATCAGGTGGCATGAGCATAAGTGGCATGCATGACATGCATGACACAACATGCCTTAGCACGACCATGGTCAGTACTGATTTGCTGGCCATTGAATCCTGAGACTTCCTCGCGAAGACAAGCGAGAAGAACACTGGCTTGGATGACTTCGTTCAAAACAAGCTGATGGAAGACTATCCTGAGGTGGTGAAGTGGGCGAAGAATGTGGCCAAAACCGTATTGCCCCTTGACGGCAGGCAAACCCAGAAATATATATTTGTTTGGGATCTATGGGTCTTCAAGGTCTTATAACACTGGTGCCCGTTTTAAGGTCCATGGCGGCTTCTGGCAGGAAGGTGAAGCTCATTATCTGGTGCAGTTGGGGTTGTCACCGAAGTGTTGCCTTGGTGTGCCACTTGTTCTCAAGCTTGGCATGTTTGACATACACGTGACTTGCAAAGACATGGCAAAACATGGCATTGCATTTGATGGCATGACATGGCATTTGATGGCATGACATGGCATTTGATGGCATGACATGGCATTTGATGGCATTTGATGGCATGACATGGCATTTGATGGCATGACATGGCATTTGATGGCATGACTTGGGATGTGCTGGCATGACATGGCGCCTAAATTGAAATGGCATTATGGGGGCATGATGGGGGCATGAAAGACGTGTGACATGGCATGTGACACCACGGCTGGACATGGCTGGCATAGTTTGACATGGCATGTCCATTGCAGTGATGGTACTGACCATCAATGCTCCGAGGTGCTATCTTTGGATACATCAGCCATTTTACTCAGGACGTTGAGGTGTACTTTCCGAGTTTGGGCCAGAATCAGCGCAAAGGACTGTGGTACCGAGCCTTCGTCGGATATTTTTTGGCATGCATTTCAATTTAACATACTAGGCCTGTGATTGTTGTGGCAATCTTTAAAAAGCATGGACGACAACATTAGCTGATGATAACCTTTTGAGTTTTCATGTTCCTTTTGGCACGCCATGGCATGAAATGGTAGTTCTTGATTTGTTGTTGAATCTTGGAAGTGGTCATGCTGGGTCATCATGAGAATCTTGAAGTGCTCATGTGTTTTTGACACGTCCATGATGAGTCATGGCATGCCTTGTCATGAAGGTGGGTTTGAATGTAAGGATCCTGTCTCATTCATGGGCCATCCGCTGTTGAGGTTGGGAGTCAAGCATGCGTGGACCTTTGCTTGAGTTGTGCCTGCAGAAGGCGCAGGCAACGCCGAGTTCGGGATCTGAATCTCTCCCTGAGTCTTCCGCTCCGGCAATTCCTGCTCCTCCAGCTGTTCCTACGTCTACCCCTGTTCCTACGTCTACCCCTGTTCCTTCGTCTACCCCTGTGCCTTCGTCTACCCCTGTTCCTTCGGCGACTGGGATTTCGCTTGGTGGTGCGGATGTTCCTCCTTTGACTGTTTTGCCTCCACCGCCAGCTCACAAGTTTCCGTTTCCGCCGGAGCCACCTGTGACAGCTCCCATGATTCCTCTGGAACCACCTGTGGCAGCTCCGAAGTTTCCTCCGGTGCCACCACCTGCGGTGGTTCACAAGGTTCCGGGAGCACCTGTGGCGGCTGCTAAAGTGTTTCAAGGGATGATCAATAGACCACCCAGCCCACGACGCCCTCTGACAGCATGGCCGGCACACATACTCCGACCACCACCACCGAAATCGGAGGGGGGGGAACGGGATCGGCCCGGGCCGTACTGAGTTTGAATTAAGGGGTCGGTTGTTAAATCCTCAAAGTGCCATGCTTTTTGTGAGGGTGTAATTTGACCTACCAGCAGTGTCCAGCCACTCCCATTAAATCTGAATTCAAACTCCGGATACGAGCCTTTTTGCGAACTGTCAGGTTTGCCGATGTGCTGATGAGATGAAGCACATGTCATATGTATTTTGTTGGTGCATGCCATGCAAGATGAAGATCGACTTTGAGATGCCACGTGAAAAGGGATTGCTACAAATGTGCAGGGGTAGGCATGACATGTCATGGCATGGTGTGGCATGACATGTCATGGAAACATGTGGCATGGCATGGTAGGAAATGATTTCTTGTTCCATCCAATGCACTTAAACAGAAAAACACGTCGGGTTTGACTGTTATAGTGCTCAGATTGAATGTTTTTTGGCGTTCTGCCATGCATGACATGTCATGGCATGGTGTGGCATGGCATGGTAGGAGATGATTTATCGTTCCATCCAATGCACTTAACCGAAAAACATGTCGGGTTTGACTGTTAGTGCTCAGATTGAATGTTTTTTGGTGTTCTGCCGTGCCGTCGGCCAGGTCTGGAAAAGCATTGTAGCCCTGGCATGTTTCTACAGTTAGCCTGTCATGTGTTTCATCATAAGCCATGAATGTGACCTCAGTGTAGCACATGAGAAGAAATGGTTGGCTGCTTCTGGATGCCATGCATGCGATGCAAACACCGATTCCTGGTTCATCCTGGTTCTCATTTGCTGATGTGGCAGTACTTTAAAATGGGCGTTCCACAAATGTCAGGTGCTAGTGCTGCTCACTTTGAGGCCTCGTTTTCATGTGTTGAAGCATGATTCACAAACAAAATCAGTCCACGCATAATCCATGCTAGGCTATTATCATGAACTGCTCCTAAAGCAATTTGAACCTCAAGTTTGTTTGAAAATACAGGATGCCAATCATAGGCCATGCGAACCTTTATTTTATTGACATCAACAGCTGACTGACAAGTTGCAAGCTGTGATTGGCTTCATGAGTTTTAAAATGACTTCTACGGGGCTCCATGCCACATTTGCTGAATCATGAGTGACATATACGTAAACTTGCGCAGCAATGCGCAGCAGTAGTCAGCCTTTTGCGTTCCCCATTACATCCGGAGGCCAAAACCATTGAAACTCTGCGAGAGGCCTGGCAGGACTTGGCATGACATGACGTGTGCGACATGGGATGACATAGCATGGAGTGGCATGGCATGGCATGGTTGACATGGCTTCCATGAATGACATGGAATCTCATGGCATGGCATAACATGAGTGACATAGCATGGAGTGGCATGGCATGGCATGGTTGACATGGCTTTCATGAATGACATGGAATCTCATGGCATGGCATAACATGAGTGACATAGCATGGAGTGGCATGGCATGGTATGGCATGACATGGTTTGACTGAATGACATGGAATCTCATGGCATGGCATGACATGAGTGACATAGCATGGAGTGGCATGGCATGGCATGGTTGACATGGTTTGACTGAATGACATGGAATGACATGGCATGGCATGACATGAGCGGCATGGCATGGAGTGGCATGGCATGGCACGGCATGGCATGGCATGACATCCTGCGGAATGGAATGACATGGTATGGCATGACACGGTGTGGCATGAAATGTCATGATTCATGATTTTCACTGGTTGTTTCTGTTTGTAGCTGTGCCCAAAACTTAGGTTTGATACGCTTTCAATAATCGCCACAGACGATCCATGAAGCGTCCAGCTAGTGTCATGGACAATGATGTCGGCTACCTCTCTGACGAGACGTTGGAGTTGCCAGGCACGAGAGACATGTCGGCTACCTTCAAAGGGTTGAATGTCAGGCCGCCATTTGCACAATGGCTGGTGGAGGGATTCAAGACCATGGAAGTGAGGAAGTACAATCTTGGAACCCATGGCATGGCCCCATGCATGTGGGTAGTCAAGACAAAGGCCAGTGCCAATGACATCACTCTCGTTGTCGGCATTGTCCAGTTCGATGAGTCAAAGGTGGTGGAGTACACGAACAGGGAGCAGTTTCAGCAGGATTGGGGAAAGCACAGGATTCCTGATTTGAAGTTCGGGATTGGCTGTGATTGGAACTTTGAGAAGCCATTGTATGGCTGGCCCGTCAAGAAGTACGTCAAGCTCGTGAATGAAATCGTGGTCGATGGAAGGTTTCCAACAAGGTCAATGCTGGGATGGATCAAGGACCCAGTGACTCTGGACATCACGGTCCATCATGATGAGGTTGAGGAGGTGAACGAGATGATGGAGCGTTGAAGTGAGAGAGCCCCTTTGCCATAGCTTGAACAAATAGAAGGGGGCTGCACAGGTAGATAATCCCATTCAGGCTCATGTTTCAAAATTTCAAACGGCTCCTTCTATCATGATTTCTAGGATTGCGCAAGATCATGTAGTGCCGGTAGATAAACGATGAAGTGAACCCGGACCGCCATGCCTTAAAAAAAAAAGGCTTGACATAATGACACGATGAGCCGGTATGTCATGTCTGACTCATGTTTGACATTGCATGACACTTGGATGCTATAGGCATAGAATGACTCTGGAATGATATTTCAACATTCAGATATCTACGATGAACAACTTATCAAGCATGACATGCCAGCAACATGCTAACAAGCCTGTGCCAGGTGAAAGCAAGTTGCCTTTGAGTTCCTGTGCTCAGATTGGCAGGGTTTATGCGCTGTCACCTTTTGAAAAAAAAACATACAACCAGCAATAGCCATGAACAACCAACATTGGTGACCGCTGAAACTCATCTTTATGACACTCACGCATGGGCGATGTATAGGCTTTTTGCTAGCCACAGGTTGTGTGACTGAGGATACACCACAGATTTAGGTGCTTCCCACCCACCTTGCCTTTGTGATTTACAGTACTTGTCATGTGTTGACACGCAGACCTTGACATGGCATTGCTGGCAATTGGCATAATTGCTGTCATGCTAGAAGGTAGCAGTGCTGTTGTGTTGTCATGTTGCCATGCTGTCACAGCATCGTTGGCTGTCATGTTATCATGTTGCCATCTTGTCATGTCATGTTGGACTTGTCATGTTGCCATCTTGTCATGTTATCATGTTGCCATCTTGTCATGTCATGTCATGTTGCCATCATGGTGCCATGCCAACTTATAATTTATTATAGACATTTGGGCTTGACTGTTAGAAATTTGAAACATGAAGCGTCCAGCAGCCAAGCCCCTTCGCCGACCTGCGGCTGTGGCCAAAGCAAAGTCAGCACGGGCCCCGCGGGGTGCTTCGTCACTGGCTGGGGAAGGGGCCCAGCTGGCAAGGGCAAGCAAACATGACAAGGAGTGGTGTAACAAATCCTCTAAATTCACGAATCATGGCTTTTCTTGAGCACAGGACCACAAAGAAGATGCTGCCTACATGTGGTCTGGGGAGATGTCGGCACCACCATGGTGCCAATCTTTGGCAGAGCTGGTGGCGAACAAAAACCCCACCTTGGAAATGGAGGAAAGGGTTTATTTTGCTGTCAACATAAAAGTTGAATCAATACTTCTAATGTACGGTACGTTGCTGTGCATGCCAATTTTGGAGTTTGGGGATTCATGCATGCTCATGTTTGGGGGCAAAGCATTGGTCTCATGCAGGACATGTTAGTCTTTAATGTTTGGTCGGATTGCGCCGGCATGAGCTCGGAAACTCTGGCCCTGAAGTCCCTCGGATTGGATGTTTGTCTTGCCGAAGTATGTCAAGATTATTTCCCCATGTTGTAACCGGTATTCAATGTGACTGGAGAAATGCTTTCTGATAGTGAGGCAAGTGTTTCGTGCTTTGTCCGAAGCTTCAAACAACAGAATCAGCTTCCAAGCATTCTTGGTTGGAGCTTGCGAACCTTGGTTCAAGCCATGGACTTGTAAAGGGTTTCATGATTCTTGTTCATGATGGGAGGATGTCATAGACCCAACATAGATGTTGGAACATGCAAACGTAACATCGGATGGTCAAGGATTTCACGCCTGTTGATGGATCGTTTTCATACTTCCATGAGTGCCTGCAACATACGAAACATGTTTCACTGCATTGGAATTCATAGTTCTAACAATTTGACAAAGAACACTTGGACCTTTGAACACTTGGACCTTTGATTAGTCCAATTGTATGTTATCGTTCTGTCCCTCCAATCATCAATTTATGAGAAACTTTTGTTACAATCATGTTTCGACAAATGGATGAGGAGAAAGACACCAATGCCCGAAAGTTTCTGGAGAGGAACTACCGGGAACTGAATGAGCATATGTGGTTGACAACAGACATGGTTTCCAGATGCCTTAGCGAAGATCAGAAGGTGTTGGAAAGCACAGAGAACGGGTTCTCAGAAATGCCAGACTTTGATATCTACGTGGCCGGATTTCCGTGTACACCATGGAGCAGGTTGGGTTTCCTTAACTTGACATGACATGTTACATGCTTTCCCCGTGACATGCTCGAGCATGAGACGCTGTCATACATTGCCATATTTTCGGTTGCATGTGGTCATGTGAATAAATAGTTTAGCATCCTCCGCCCACCAAGGACATGATAGTCTGTCATGACCATGTGAATGAAAAGGTTTGCTAGGGCATGATAGGCTGTCATGACTTGCCATGTTAGGTCATGTGGCCATGTGAAAAATAGCAAAGCATATTTAGGTTCGCTTTCCAGGCGTGGGAAGCGGGAAGGATTCGAGGATGAGAATTCCAAGCCCTTTTTCACGGCCATCTTGACAATCAAGCTGAAAAAACCTCAAGTGTTTGGTCTTGAGTGTGCCAGGGCCCCATACACGTAAGTGCTTGGTTGGTGCTAATGAGAGCGTGTGCAAAAACACATAGACACAGCCACCTTTAAAGTACAGCCTGTCTTGCTCAGGTCTCCAGTGTGGCTCAGGGGCACACATCCGATGAAGCCAGTGGCAGTGGCAACAATGACCTTGATGCAATGGTGGACTATATGAACAATCATTTGCCAGATTATGTTTTTACCATCATGCGTAACCGAAGCCCCACGCACTTCAACTTTCCGATGTTGCGTCCGAGGCATGAAGGATGTCATAAGGATTCTTTGCACATGGCATGTCCTGGCATGGCATGTCATTTTTTTTAAAGCCGGCTTCCAAAATGGTGTCACAGGTTCTATGTGATCGGCTTGCTCAAGACCTTAGCATTCCCTTTGGACAATGGAATGCTGCATGAAAAGTTGACCAATGTTTGTGAGAAGATCAAGATCGAGACCGCTCCTGTCAGGGACTACATGACCTTCCTGGGCTTAAAGCCTGACGTAGACTGGGACATACTGTGACTAGATTCCTTCGATAATTTGTTTTTGCAAGTGCTACGGGACCACTGCCGAGGGTAACTTGCAAGTGCATGACATCATGGCATGACGTAATGGCATGTCATGACGGCACGCCCGGCATGGCATGATGACATGACATGATGGCATGGCATGATGACATGACATGAGGCATGGCATGAATTGAAATGAGGCATGGCATGACATGACATGATGCCACGGCATCACATGACGGTAGTGATGCCCAGTGATGCCATGCATCTGGCGCCAAGGCACACCATTCCGATGGTCTCAGTGCTCCGAGTGCGCTGTCGGTGCACCCTGGATCCAAACTCGGTGTGTGAGACACACCCATGCAAGTGCCCGGAATGCCGTGGTGCAAAGGGGAGCCCAGGTCTGACATGCAAATGGCGTTCCCTGCACACGGAATACCTGTTGAAGAACCTTTCCCATGTGGTGTTGGCAAATGAAATTGAGAAAGTCACCTACTGTGAGGCGTTGGAAATGTCAGGCACAAAAGCCCCTTCCTCCCCTCGTGAGCGGAATCTTTTGAACATCATGTCCTACCACAGTGATTCCATGGCAAGCTCCTTACTGGTGTTGGACAAGAGCCAAGCCATCAACCGTACTCAAATGTGCCCTGCCTACATTCCATTCAAACCTGGAAACTTTTTTAATGGTGAAACATGTCCAACTTAGAAGAAGTGGTCGTTTTGCCATGGCATGACTTTAGGCGCAATGATGGGATCATCCCAACGTTATGCACCTCCAGTTCTCTTTGGCTGTTTGCCATGGGGCGGGAGTTGACTGCTGCCCAGCTGGCGGCTCTGTTTGGCCACACCAGTGACAGCAAGTTTGGCGGGCTCACGGAGAAGGGGGTGATTGGACTTCTTGGAAATTCAATGCACTTGGCAGAGGCCAGGGTCTTACTCCAATCTAGTCTGGGAATAGCCACTGCAGCACCCTTGCCTCAGGTTGGAACCCTTGTGGCCAGCGCGGTCTTCATCAAGGGGCGATTGCTGTGACCAGAAGCATGCACATGCGTCATCTGATTTTGATCACTGAACGTGCCAACTCCAGCGTGGAAAACCGGCAGTGTTCTAGTCATGTTGTGTTTCTGTTGTATCCCATGGTGGCATGCTTGCATTTGAACATGTTGCCACATCATGATGATATGTCATCCCATTGTATCATGAAATGTCATGACATGTCATGTCACCTTGTCATGTCAGCATGAAATCTTGTGTCATGCCATGTCATGCAATGTCATGCCATGTCATGCAATGTCATGCCATGTCATGCCATGCCATGTCATGCCATGTCATGCCATGTCATGACATGTCATGTCAGCATGAAATCTTGTGTCATGCCATGTCATGCCATGTCATGACATGTCATGTCAGCATGAAATCTTGTGTCATGACATGTCATGTCATCGCATCATGTCATCACATGTCATCCTCATGTTCGTGATTTGCCATGTCTCCACATGTTGTCATGTCTAAACTATCTTCGCCACTTGTGACTTCAGGCTCAGAATAAGAATAAAGAACAGCTACTTTGGTGTGGCTCCCATTGTTAGTCATGACGAATAGCGTTCCACCCCCAAAGCGACGCAGAATGATTGTGGACCCCGAAGAGATGTGGGAAGTACGTGATGACCCCAGGTGGGTACTGGATGAAACATCCGACACCCAGTGCTTGATCTGGGTTGGTGAGGAAAGTCCCGAGCCTATCTTGGTGGTCGAGATTGAACCTGCGGGTGAAGGGCCTGTTGAGAATCCTTCCGCGTCTGAGCCTTCTGGGAGTTCTAGCCCAAAGAGAGTGGAACCTGAAAAACAATGAAAATGTAGTATTTAGGCACATGATTAATGCGGAAATTAATTTTCCAATGAAGGGACAAATCACCTTTCGTTGGCCTAGTTGCTTTACTTGAGGAACACGGACTCATGGCAAAGAGCGAATGGTTAAAAGTGCTTTACGAGTCATTTCATGTTGACATGGCATGTTCTCCATGTTTTGCAAGTCTTGTCATGTTGACATGGCACATTCTTCAGCTAACATGTTACTTGATATGTTATGCAAACATGGTCATACTTCAAAGTTTACGTTGTCCTTGTCTCATTTGCCTTGCATAGTTGAACCCTGCCCCAAACAATTTCTTTTCGGAGATAATGTTGGATTCGCTTGCACGCTCAAACCTGGGTGATGGAGGTAATGCTCATTACTATTACTCAAACAAAAGGATTTGTCACAGGCTTTGCACATGCTTGCCTAGATAGATACTAGACGTGCCAAGATTCCAAACAGCTTCCGCGAACCAAAATGCCCAAAAACACAAAAAAAAGACTTCCCTGGGGGGAGAGGGTTTTTTTCATCATTTTTCGATGTTTTTGAGCCACTTCATTTTAAATCTAGCAACTAGACGCGATGGTCAACTTAGGATTTGTCACAGGCTTTGTACGGCCGTACCCAGGTACGAGACGCGATGGTCAACTTAGGATTTGTCACAGGCTTTGTACGGCCGTACCCAGGTACGAGACGCGATGGTCAACTTAGGATTTGTCACAGGCTTTGTACGGCCGTACCCAGGTACGAGACGCGATGGTCAACTTAGGATTTGTCACAGGCTTTGTACGGCCGTACCCAGGTACGAGACGCGATGGTCAACTTAGGATTTGTCACAGGCTTTGTACGGCCGTACCCAGGTACGAGACGCGATGGTCAACTTAGGATTTGTCACAGGCTTTGTACGGCCGTACCCAGGTACGAGACGCGATGGTCAACTTAGGATTTGTCACAGGCTTTGTACGGCCGTACCCAGGTACGAGACGCGATGGTCAACTTAGGATTTGTCACAGGCTTTGTACGGCCGTACCCAGGTACGAGACGCGATGGTCAACTTAGGATTTGTCACAGGCTTTGTACGGCCGTACCCAGGTACGAGACGCGATGGTCAACTTAGGATTTGTCACAGGCTTTGTACGGCCGTACCCAGGTACGAGACGCGATGGTCAACTTAGGATTTGTCACAGGCTTTGTACGGCCGTACCCAGGTACGAGACGCGATGGTCAACTTTTTGCTGTGCAACATACCTCATTGATTTTGGCGTGCAAGCCAAGTGACGTTTTGTCACTTGGCTTGTACGCCCGTACCCAGGTACGAGTGTGCAAGCGGGCATTTTTCTATGTGACGCCCCTCTAAAACCCATACCTGTCACATACCAACCCCCCCCGCATGTACGCCCGTACCCAGGTACGGGCGTACGAGCCAAGTGACGTTTTGTCACTTGGCTTGCACGCTGGCATCACTGATGCAGCTTGTAAGGCTCAAAATTTCAATTCGATTTCAGGATTCTGACCTGCTGACCTCGTCTGACTCAGGGCTATGGCTGATGCGTCCGTTGTTGCAGCCCAAAGGCAACAGGCAGAAGCACGAAAGATGGCGAAATCCACGAAGACCGATGTGGACTTGAAAGCACATTTGGTGGAAGCCATGACTGAGGGGTTTGACTCCTACATGGAGAAAGTCCTCGCATCCTGACATATTTATCTTGGAGCCATGCATGAATGTCATGTTTGTCATGGGGTGGTCTTTGAAGATGAGACATGCATGTGACTTCATGGTGATAGAACGTATAGGTTCGCTCATGAACATGAGTTACGGAAATCTAATTTCATGACGTCATGACATGGCCCTGTTTTGCTTTAGGCATGGACAGCTTCAGATGAGGGAAGGCTTGGAGAGCCCTTGGGGTCAAAGTGCCCAGTCCGACCAGTGGATGAACTCAAGGACTTGGTCTCGAAGAAGACACGAGTTCAGACTGGGGGGTCTTGTGCAATGCTGGCCCTCGGTGACACTGGTCAAAAATTGTTATTCTGTCAGTAAATATTTTTTGAAATTGCTGGAAGTCAGCTTGAAAATGAAAAATCCGAGCATGTCCCACAACATGTCACTTGTGAGATTCACCAACAGTTTAACCAGCTCATGCCTTGCAAGTGTGTCACATGGGAGTTTGCCAATGACATGTTCAATATGCTCATGAATTGTCATGTTTAAATAGGAATGTGACCATGACATGTCCAACATGCTGATGACATGCCATCATGTTTCGCATGGGAGTTTGACCATGACATGTCCAACATGCTGATGCCACATGGGAGTTCGACCATGACATGTCCAACATGCTGATGACACATGGGAGTTTGACCATGACATGTCCAACATGCCCATGACTTGCAACATGCCCCGCATATGGGTTTATGGTACCACATGTTGACTTTTGATGACTTTTGTTTATCACAGGCTCCCTACCATGGACATAACTTGATAAGGAAAGGGCAGTGGGCGTATGGCAGACTCGCCGGATCGAGACTGTCTTGATGAAGTGGGACGGTGTTCCAGGGAACTTGGGCCACATCATTCCCACCTTGAAGGTGAATTCGGATCTGTGGGCTTCAGACACTGGCACGATCAAAGACCTGCAGCGGCTCAACGGCGATTCCGAGTTGGCAGCTGCGCTTCTGATAGCCTATTGGTTCAGGAACAACAGTGACATTTGCCACTGGTTGAAAAGAGAGCTTGCAGACATCGTGTTGGAATTCTACAGCTACGGCGTGGGCTCGCAGTTCGACTTAGCAAAGTTCGGCACCACGGCTGAATTAGTTTTCCAACACTTATTGGTATCAGGGTTCATGCTAGTTTCTCACCTTAGCTCCTAGTTACCTAACCTACTAGTAGGTCTGGTCGAAGAGGAAGAACGGGACCGGCAAGTCATTGGACTCGGGGCGGCCGACAAGTGCCTTGTCCTAGCGAAGATGGTGGATGGCGCAATGACCGAAATGGCCCTGTCGGAGGACAAGGCGATCGAGGCCTTGTTGAGCAAAGGGAACTACATGCGGGGATGGCACCCTGGCCTTCCCATTCACATGTCATGACATGATTGACATGGATTTGTCACTGATTGCATGCCATGACATGGTTGATCAGGTTACAGGTTGCCATGTTTCCATGTTGCCATGCAACCAGTTGTTGTTATGATTCCATGTTGACATGATGCCATGTGGCCATGACTCCATGTCGACATAACGTGGCCATGACTCCATTGACATGATGCCATGTGGCCATGACTCCATGTTACATGCCTTAACGTGGCCATGACTCCATTGACATGATGCCATGTGGCCATGACTCCATGTTGACATGATGCCATGTCATCATACTGACATGCTCTCATGTTGACATACTAACTGTCATGGTTTTGGGAGGTTGCATTCTGACTGGTGCTTTAGGAACCTCAGCACTTGCCAGCGCTACACCAACATGGGCAGAAAGCTGAAGGAGCTTCCAGCTGTCATGGAGGCATTGAACACCATGTCCCACCGCTTTGGGCGTGATGGTCCCCTTGACGGAATCACCAACCTCCGCTCCCTGTTCTCACTGGGCCTCAACTCCGATGACATGGTCTTTGTCATCGAGACCCTGATGATGGAGAATTTTGGCATGCATTCCCCCAAAACTTAAGCTTTTGACAAATGGGTTTCTATGGGATTCTATGGGTTGAAATTGGGACGTGCTACAGGAAAGCTTCTGGTATCAGAAAAGCGTTGGGCCCCGTGCGCACTGGCACGATTCGGTTTGACGTGACCAAAGTTCTGAAGGCCATTCTCGTTCGCAGGGACTACATGGTGCATTTGCGTAACCAGTTTCCCAACATGGCTAGCTACATGCATGACCACGGAACGTTGGCATGGTACACACGAACCTTCGGTCTGAACAGTCTCGGGGAAAAGGATGGCCAAAGAGTTGAAGAGCAAGATGAAGAGGAGAATGAGCAGGACCAGCAAACACAGGCCAGTAGCTTTATGTCCCTGAAACCCTTGGTCACCTTCGTGGAGAGAATGATGAGGGGGACCTATGATATCGCGCTGTGCAAGCTGTCAGGGGATTCGATTGCAGGGAAATCATTGAACCTTGGGTCCCAGGATGACAACATGAAGAGCATCATCAGTGACATCTCCGCGAAGTATGCCTTGGACTTCCCCGCCCCCAAGGAGAATGCCCATGAAGCTCGCATCACACATGCTGACGGCATGGAGGTGATCAAATCGACGGTGCAGGACAAGGCAGACTATGAGATCGAGTTGGACAAGTACCTCAAGGCCTCTGCGGAAAACGAAACCCAGCAAATCAAGGAGTACATCATGTCCAGGATCGCCTTTGTCATCGACGACCTGACCGACGACTTGCCAAGCAAAATCGCAAAGCAGGGCCTGGCAAAGGAGAGCAAGAGAAAGATGTGCATCTACTCTACAGAGCTTTTCGGTCATGTCAGACATGACCCATTTTTTTCCGTCATGTGTTTATCATGATTTTTTGGGTCTCATGCTTGACATGTTTGACATGAATCATGGTAGACATGCATGGCATTATTCCATGCGTCAGGCATCCACAGACCACAAATTAAGGCTTGATGGCCCTGTGGCATGGCAGCAGATCAAGGCACGCAGGTTGAACCCATTTGGGGGAACTGGTCCTGGAGTCTCCAAGACCCGGGTTGAACGTGCAGTGAACATTTATGAGGCAGGGTGGGTTTCACTTGGGACTTGGAAAGCCATGCCATATCCATGACATGGCAACAATTTTACGATTTGAAGTTGGCAAGGCATATATCATGGCATGGCTGGCATTCCATGTTAACATGACATCACGTGGCATATCATGGCATGGCATTCCATGTGAACATGAAATCACGTGGCATATCATGGCATGGCATTCCATGTGAACATTGAACATGACATCACGTGGCATATCATGGCATGGCATTCCATGTGAACATGACATCACGTGGCATATCATGGCATGGCATTCCATGTGAACATGAAATCACGTGGCATATCATGGCATGGCATTCCATGTGAACATGACATCACGTGGCATATCATGGCATGGCATTCCATGTGAACATGACATCACGTGGCATATCATGGCATGGCATTCCATGTGAACATGACATCACGTGGCATATCATGGCATGGCATTCCATGTGAACATGAAATCACGTGGCATATCATGGCATGGCATTCCATGTGAACATGACATCACGTGGCATATCATGGCATGGCATTCCATGTGAACATGACATCACGTGGCATATCATGGCATGGCATTCCATGTGAACATGACATCACTCCAAACATGGCACGCGTACTGTGAACCCAACATAAATACAGACATGGTGCCATTTTCAAACGTCTTGGTGGCAGGAGATTCGTCGTGCTGAGCGTGACGCGGAGTTGCAGGACAAGTCCTTGTTGATCATGACATGCAAGGTTGGCTTGCATGAATGGCATGTAAGGGAAGCAGGCTGATTATTGTGTCATGAACATGACATGAGGATACACATGTCCATGGCCTGGCCTCACATGACACTATGGCATGGCAATGGTGACATATAATATTAATATGAGGTCGACACGCTGAAATCCAAGTCGGCCCTGGACGTCGTGAAAAATGAGCTTGGCAAACTGACGGGTGCCAAGAAGCATGCCTTGACAGTGGCCACCATCGAACCGAATGCCACTGACTCCCTCCAAAGGTTCAAGCGTGGGAGGAGGGCATTTGGGAGCAAGATTGAGGATCGTTTCGTTGCTTGCTCAGTGTCTGCCATCTCCAGCGCGCACTGTGGTGCCATGCAGTTTCTTGAGGGAGGGGACACCTATTTCACCAAGTGGCCAGTGAGATTGATCCCTGTTTCGGATCTCAAGCAAATGGACGAACTGGCCTATGAAAAGCTCTATGACTTTCGTTGGCACTTAAGTTGGTGGTAAACAAGTCATGATATTTAAAAAACATCCAGCTAAAGCTCCAACAGACCTGTGCAACTCTTTAATTGTCTTGTCATGCATGGTCATGCATGGTCATGCATCGTCATGGTATGTCATGGTGATAACATTATGTTGACACATGTGTGAGGAGAATGATATGACCCCGGACCGGGACGACTCCGAAGACTGCCATGGGTCAAACGATGCAATGGACTTGAACATGAATGACAAGAACGTGGTTGCCTTTCCGCATGAACACCATTGGACTTTGACGCAGGAGTTCTTGGCGGTCTTCGGCGGCCCGGGCAGTGTCACTTTGATCGACATGACCCCAGGCTCTGGTGCAAAGCTCCTCGGAGTGCTCCTCTCCAATGGCAGGGGAATCGGGGTTGCCCGCACTGCAGCACACTGCAAATGGATGATGGAGAATCTGATTGGATGGACTCGGCAGAAGCGCCTGGTGCCAATTACCCAATTGGTGAAGCCAGACAGCCTGGTGCAGTATGAGAAGCAGAACAAGCCAGCGCCAGCACCCATCCCGAAGAACAGCCCGCAGCCGAAGGCAGTGATGAACACGCCGCAGACCCCGAACCCGTCTCCATCACCGAGCACACCTGCAGTGCCGAAATCAGCTGGTAGCAATGGTGGTGGGCCTTCTCCTCCTGTCAAGCCGACCGGCTTGCTGGAAGCCTTTGGCAAGGTGGCCCAGTCATGATAGAGTCCAGTGAGGACCTTAGTTTTGGCTCAATGTGTGGCTTTCCTGTCAGTAGTTGACGGATCTAGCATCAATAGGAAAGAGATTGGTGAAATGGCAAGACGTGAGCAAAAATAGTCTTGCTGTAGTTTTGCCATGTTTGTCTCTTGTCTCATGCTTCATGATGTGCCATCCATGGGTTGTGACATGTCCATGATTTGGCATGAGGTGACATGTGTTGGCATGAAGTGACATTTGCTGGCATGCTTTGACATGAGTTGGCATGTATGACGTGCCATGCATGGGTTGAGATGTGTCATGGTGTTGGCATGCAGTAACATGTGCTGGCATGCTTTGACATGTGTTGGCATGTATGACGTGCCATGCATGGGTTGAGATGTGTCATGGTGTCATGGTGTCATGCCCCATGATCACGGTTTTTGAAACTGATTGGGCGCTTTCCTTCGGCTGATGCTTCAGCACATGGCACAGGACCCAAGATATGATGTGATACACCATGGTGGGGAACTACACTGACAACATTTATTTTCTCCATGGGATAAACCCTACCCACAAATTCATAGTACATGTAGATCATGTGATAAAATACATCACTTCCAAAAGATGGCCAACCGGCCATTGATTACGCCAACATGGGTTGAGACGTATCAGCGTCCAGACCATCCTCAAGGGCAAGGTCGTGGAGGAATTTCTTGCCCGCATGACCTCATGGAACTTGCGGACCTGAATGACATGTATGTGAAAGACACGGTTTCCAATGGTGACTGTCTTTTTGGTGCTTTTGCAATTTCTGCGTCCAAATTCATAGAGCCAGGACCTTGGAAGACTCATGAAATAAGTCGTCAGAGTATTGAATTCTAACATTGACGGGACTACTGACTTCCTAACTAGTCTGGTCTGTTTTATGTTTTCCCAGGTCATTTCGACGACAGCCATGGTCCCTAGTCAAGAAGGAAAGGAACAAGAACCGAATCATCCGCAAGATAGCTTGTGACTGGGCAGAGGCAAATGCCAACAAACCTCTGTGGGACAACTTCACAGTGGGTGACCTAGCAAGGACTGTGTCAGGGGAATCATATGCCAGGTGAGGGGTTTAAAAGCTGGTGCCACTGTATCGACTGTTTGTAAACATACATGGACTGTTAGGGCTAGATACGTATCCCCTGTCTCGTCCTGCCAGGTGGCTGGAGAGAATGCGACAGGGTGGGACTTGGGGAGACACAGCCATGCTTCATTGTCTTGGCTGCGCTTTTGGCATTGACATTTGTGTTTTGATCCATGGCCAGCCCGACCCTGCTTTTGTTGGAGCTTCCTGTTGTGGCCTTGAGGATGCTGAGTCGCTCTGCATCAATCGCTTAGCTGTCAACATGTCAAGTCATATCATATGCCTGTCATATTTTTTTTGTGAGCATGACGTCATGAATGTCAAGCCATGGAATCATGTGAAACCATGTCAAGCCATGATTGTCAGGTTTTTAATAACGCCAGATCTGTTAAATTTTGAAGTCAGACATGTCTATCCATGAAGCCATGTCAAGCCATGTCAAGCCTAGTACAGCATGCATGTCATGATTCTAAGTCCAGCCATCTCACTATTATTACATGTTTCCTGGATAGCCTGAGGATGATCATGGTTGCTTTGAGCAACGACTACCATTTCTGGGGATTGGAGCGGGATCCTTCCTGCGAAGACGACCAAGAGGGACCAGATCAAGACGTCGCAGAGTATCCATGCACTGACCGCATTGCAGAGATCTGGAATGAAGACTCTGTGTCAAACCAGTTAACTTTAATTCAATGCCTGCAGGAATGGGACCCTTGGGCAGTACCAACGGCAACTTTGATCGAGAACTTCGAGAAGATCTCAAGCGTGGGCCCTTTGGATCCTGGAGCTGCCATGTTTAAAGCCCGGCAGTTTGCATTCTACCAGCTGACACGTGAGCAGCATGCTTATGAGGAGCCTTTCATTATAAGAGACAGTAGGTGTGACCATGTCATGCACAGCATGAGTCCAGTAATCTACATGAACCCAGGAGTTGAGCCGGGAGAAGCGCTACCAGAAAGCAGAGGCTGCTCTGCGGTCTTGTAACTATCTGCTGACCAAGAGCTCCAGGAAGTTTCCTGCCATCGCTCACATGACTCGTTCTGGCTACGCTCGATCTGTCATCAAAGCGAGTCAGTACATATCCCTCCCCATTATCTCCAAAGAGTTGGAGATGCCATGTCACACTGGCCAAGTTAAGCATGAATGCTTGAACATGATGCGATCATGTCCGGCACTCGTGAAAAATTTCAGAGTGCTTTGGGCGTCGCTACCCAGAACACAACGCCTGGAATTCCTGTACAGACTGATGCGAGAGACTTGTCTGATCTCATCTGCTCTCTGATTTTGCATTGGTATCCAATCACAGGGTTACCTTGATATCATGAAAAGCCAAACGACTGGCTTTCAGTGTTTGATATCATTATATAAGGAAGACTCACCAGAGCTTCGTTCTCAATTTTGGAGGAACATCATTTTTCTTTTGAACTCTTGAATCGAATCCTGAAAACTGGCCTCTTAATGGCGCTGTTCCCTTGTAGCACTTGACCAGTGGAAGGGTTTTTTGCAAACATGTGCAGGAGAACAATGGTTTCACCTTCCTGGGAGTGACTGTGTGTCAGCGTGCCTTTCAAATCCTGACTGGGATCCCAGCTGGCACGATTCAACAAGCCAGGGATGCTGCTCGTCGTTCGAATGCAGTCACTGCTTTGACAAAGAAAGAGTTGGGCATGTGGGCCACCATTCGCAATTCTGCCAAAGCTCCTCGCTACTTGGATGCTCGGTCATGGCTCGAAGTCCACGCGGAGAAGTATGCGGAAGCAAATCCCATGACCGGCCAAATGGTGTTGCCGTTTGGACGGAAGTCTGACTACTACCACATGTACTGTTGGGAGCGCTCTCAGGAAGTGCTGAGCCATTTGGATGGGGAGTATGCTTCCCAACAAACATTTCTCCAAGCATGGCGATGTGAACCTCAGTTCTTGTTGGCCCCCTCTTGCTCCACATGCTGTCCATGTCTTTTTGTGTACCTGGTCATGGATACTTCACATGCTGTGGCACCAATGTTTCATGTTCCCCTCATGATCTCCCTGCCCCAGGAATGCTTCCATGTTGTCATTGCCTCACGCACCAGTATGTTTGTGGCCTGCCAAGTGTGCAAGTTCCTGCAGGGCATGATTGCATCCACATCTAGGCAGCATTCTGAAGTGCTTGATGCTCTGAAGCTTCGTCTTGGGAGGCATTATGCTTTCCAAGCAAGCCAGCGCTTGGCTGACGAACGTCTCATGGAGCAGGCACGTCGGTCAGACAATGCCGAGTGGTAGCTCGAATTGAAGTTCAGGCCCAAGAAACAAAACTCAAGCCTTTCTAGTCAACGTTCTTTCTGTCTCTGGTGATTGAATCACCCAAGGCACTTGCAAGTGGACAAGATGGACCAAACAAAGACCAATCTGCCGTGCATCCACAGCCTGTGGCCTTGCCTCATTACATCTGGAATTGTCATTAGCATGGCATGTTTAGCTTTGGTGTCCATCAGTCATGGGACATGTGCATGTTGCCATGGAACATGTGCATGAATGTTGTCATGGAGCAAGTGCATGTTGTCATGGGACATGTGCATGCATGTTGCCATGGAACATGTTGTCATGGAGCAAGTGCATGTTGTCATGGGACATGTGCATGCATGTTGTCATGGAGCATGTTGTCATGGAGCAAGTGCATGTTGTCATGACATGTGCATGCATGTTGCATGGAGCATGTTGTCATGGAGCAAGTGCATGTTGTCATGGGACATGTGCATGCATGTTGTCATGGAGCATGTTGTCATGGAGCAAGTGCATGTTGCCATGGAACATGTGCATTGGCCATCCCAGGCGTTCAACCCCGCTGATGAAGACCGGGTTCGTGCTCGTCATCGGGCTGGTCGCGACCATTTGGTCAGGAACTCCGGACGACACAGTTGGCCTCACCTCACTGTATGAGGGAGATTCCAAGCACGGGGCCAACATGCAGGGAAGTCTCTTGTTCCAGGCTTTCCACCGGAAAGTCATGGACACCGGCGTGGTGCCGGAAGCTTTGACAATCAGTGCCGATAACACCCCCAAGGACTAGTTGGGGATCTAAAGTTTTCTCCCAGCTTGCTTGGAACAATGGTTCTGTCTTGTTTTGACTCCCACCGCTTTTGGTTGACACTATTATGCCTCTTCCTTCAACCACGGCTGCAGGAAACTAAAAACAGCATTGTCTACTCTGCCTGTGTATGGCTGTTGTGTGCCCTACACCAGACACGGTTTTGGAGGATCCGCACCGTGTACAAGCTTGTTGGGCACACACACAGCCACTGTGACAGGGTCTTCAGTCGCATCAAGGCGTCGCTGATGGGAAAGAGTTACATCAGCGAAGATGACATGAAACAAATCATTGTGTCCACCCTTAAGTCCTACAAAATGGAGTGGGACCACCTGCACGCCTCCCTGGACTTTGAAGCCTTGAAAACTTTGCTGGGATTGGACATTCACCACCTGAGAAATGTTCACGATCTGGAAATTTTCCGCACCACGGGCGGGGTCTTTGTGCGCTGGAAGCAATATATCAGTGATGAACTGTGGAGCCGTCCCCGACTGGTGGTGGCGCCGGAGAACATTGCGACGGTGGCACAAGCCAGGCCGCCCCATGTGAAGCACAAGTTCACGGATGAAGCGAAGGCAAAGTTCAGTGACTTTTTGTCTAAACTTGAAATCCAGCTGGGCTCGATGAACCTTTTGGATGATCATGTGCGAGCTGGCATGGCTTGGCTGAAGCAGGTGACCCAGTTTGACACTGACTTCACAATGCCAGTTGACAGGATGTTGGGTGACATCATGCATGGCGGAGCACCACGTGGATGTCGCTTGGAGTCTTCCGCGATTGTCCCTGATGACATGCTCCTTCTCAACTGTCCAGGACCTTGTGTGCCACACATGGAGTTGCCATGTCTGCCATGTCTGTTTCACAAACTGGGTATGGGGTGATTATGATGGGGTATGGGTTGGCCAGTGCATGCCATTGATTGCTATGTCTGTTCCAGAAACTTCTGGTATTAATGTTTTATGCCACATGTTGCATGTTTGTCATGCCACTGCCAATGCATGCCATGCAGTATAGTTTTGTTTGCCGCCGTGTTTGTTCCAAGTACATGTGTATCGGTATAGAAGGGTTTCATGTTTGTTGGTCATCTTGCTTTCCCATCCCTTTGAAGGAGCGGACATGCCTGGGATGCCTCTGGAGAGTTTGGTGCAGCTTGGCACCGTGGGAGATTCTGACCCAGCCATGGATGCTTCGTGTTGTGTTGGTGATTTCGTCATCACCTTGAATGACTCGAAGGCGCTCCCCTTTGTCATGGGCCAGGTGGTGGATGTCGATGGTGACTCGGGAATAGTTCAGTGGTGGCACCCGGGAAAATCAAAAGAAGCCAACCTCAAAGCTGGTAGAAAGAAGGCGATCCTGGATTTGTTTGGTGGATGGCAGCCCACAACTGACATTCCTGTTGGCGAACTCGAGCCCTTGCCGCCATCGGTGGTGAGTCCTGCACGAATCAGGATTTGGGGGTTCACCTTGGACTCGGGGGACCAAATTCCATTCTCCATCCTGGATAAAGTCCAGGGAGAGCTGGATATAGACCTGACTGGATTGAAAATGTCCAGCACACAGCGGGGAGCCTTGTACCGTGCTCACAGGCTCATGCGGACGACGGGATGATGCTGGCCAATTGGAAAAATTTGGCCAGCCCAATTGGCCAGCCCATGCTTGCCACACATGGAGTTTCATGTTTGTCATCCATGGAGTTTGACCATGCTTGCCATGTTAGGGACCGTGGGTATTCATGTTTGTTGGCCATGTTTCCCATGTGTGTCATGTTTGAGTCATGGTTTCGTTTACCACCATGGACTTGCATGCCTGTCATGGGTGTCCCAAATTCATGCAACATTAACACTAGCCCACTGTCCGACCCCACGCAGGAATGCCAAAGAAGAAAGATGAGTCCCCTGATCAGCGAGACTTCAAGAAAGAAGTCAAGAAATTTGTAAAAAACTTGATGGAGGAATCGGACCCCAAAGCTTTATCGCTCCAAGATGTGAGGGAAGCTGTCAAAAAAGAGTTGTTGAAGGGAGAAGAACCCAAAAATGTGGCAATGTTCAATGCCATTGTAGATTCCACCGTTTCACATTTTGACCGCAAGGATAGAGAGGCGGCCAGTACTTCGAAACCGAAAGGAGTTTTGAAACCAATCTTCAAGAAATGAATGGTTGAAAATGAGTTGGGAGCATGACCTGCTTCATGTGGAGCTTGTCATGTCATGGTCACAGATGGGAACATGGCATGATGTGCCATGACCATGGCATGTCCATGTATGACATGTCATGTCTGAACACGGGATGTCTTGCCATGACCGTGGCATCATGTCCATGTATGACATGTCATGGAATTTGCATGAAAGACGTGCCATGCCTGTGTCATCATACATGTCCAAGGGGACATGGGGGGCTTTTGGGCGGGCAGGTCTGGGGGGGGCTCAGCATCAAAAAAGTTGTGGCATCAATTTTAACAAATTTCTTCATATATATATATATAACTTGCTTAGTTGAGCTTAGTTAGACATAGTAGTTGGATGTTGTTGGGTTGCACGGTGGTTTCTTTTGGTCCTGACCAGTCTTAGACGACCATGACAATGACCCCAGGTCAATGGGCATTGGTGTGGTCGTAGGAGATATCAGGCGTATGGCAAGGTTAACGCGAAGCGCGCGCGTTGGAAAAGGTGTCTCAGAATATGGTGTCTACCCATCTTATGGCCATTTGATCAGTGACTTTTCTTGATAGGTCATGGAATTTGTGGGGCCCTCTTTGTCAGACAAAGCCATGTATCAGGGCAAGTGGTCACGTTTTCTGGTTGGTGGTTTCAACCCCTCCGAAAAATATGAAAGTCAGTTGGGATGATGACATTCCCAATATATGGAAAAATAAAAGCCATGTTCCAAACTACCAACCAGTTTTAAAATTGCTGAATATCTGGAAAACATCACAACACATGATGCCCCACACATGGCTAAAATGGCCAACCAGAGTTTACCCAGTAGGTCAGGAATGGTTACTTGGATGTGCACCCCAGCAGGTATACATGTGTTTTATACATGCATGATGTATGACCTTCCAGTCTACTGGGTTTATACCAATTAGTCAGTGCAACTCCCCAGTAGTTGCTGGTGACTTGCGTCGATGCCGAGTCTTCCCATGCTTGTCACCTAGCCTTTCATCCGTAGCTTTACGTCACCCATGCTTGATGCTCAAACCACGGACATTGACCAAAAAAAGCACGCTCTATTTTTGAATATAAAGAATCGAAAAGAATGATCTACAAGATCTGGTTGGTGGTTTTAACCCCTCTGAGGAGAAAAAAAAACATGTTCCAAACCAACAACCAGAGATGCTACAAGCAGAATCACCAGCTATTCCCCCAGACGCCTCAGCCGGTGTAAACGCCGCCACTTCCATTGCCTCCGGCAGTGTGTCAGCCTGGTGGCGCAGGAGCAGGAGCTCGGATGTAGAGCTGCCATGGGATCTTTCAACCAATCGAAATTCACTTGGCACCATCATATTTTAAGGAAGAAAACGCAACCGAAATTGCCACAACTGAACATCTTGAACCACGATGTTAACTAGATTGGAAAATCTGTGAGTTGCCACTTTCAAACAAAAACGTCAATAGGCTGGCTCCTGGTTCGTGTTTATATTTTCGACCGTTTTCCCTAGAAATCCTATGAAAATCCTATGGGTATCCCCATCCAGGAAATCTCCAGATTTCCTGCCTCCAAATCTTCAGGCCGCCCCACCGGCTCGACCGGCTCGACCGGCTTGGCCACGGAGTTGACCTTGCGACACGATGCGACACGTGTCGCAGCGAAGCCATTTACACATTGTGACATGAATATGTGATGTATTTTGATGTGTAGATGAAGATAAATTAATAAATGTTAAACATATACAAATGTATACAAATGTGATATATATATAGATATATATAGAGATATACACGAATGTGATAGAATAAATCAATAAATAAATGTATATATATATATATCAAAAGAATGATGATGATATTAAAAATAATAATAATGTATGTGTTAAAATATATTACTATTACACATGCTATAGTCTATAGCTACTATAGCCGTGTGTTGTGGTTTGGAGATGTGTCTTACTTTCACATTTGGCCGGTGTTTGTTATCTTGATTTTCTTTTAATGGCGACACAGCTGTCCTCCATGACGCATCGTAAACAGCACAATAACAGCGGGATCTTGCATTACGTTATCATCATTATGTCTTTAAACCATAATACGTGTTGAGTAAACTACCCACAACCTAGATTATCTATATGTCTAACCGTTTGTTGCCAGATTTCTTTTGGTAAAGAAGCCCCCTAAGATCGGTACCCCATTATGTGTAGGATGAAAACATCATGGCCGCAGCTTCAACCACACCAGTGTTGCCTGCAAGAAGTCCGAACCAGTAACAGTGATATATCACCTATGATCACGATGAGGAGAATTCAACCACCAGAACGTATCAGAAAATATCAGCACAATTTTTGATATATCCTTCCAACCTTGGGAGTATGACCAAACAATCATCGTTCATGACTGCAAAGGTGATATCGATTTTGCATCACATAGTTTATAAACAATGATGCAAACACAGAAATATAGTATAGAGAATATGAGTCGTCCCAAACATGAACACAATAATTTTTGTGGTATACCTACGGCCCAATTTCATAAACATTCATAAACCATGGTAACCATCCCCATTTCATCACCATGTGACGGAACGGAATCGTCCGTTCGCCATTTCTTGGTACGTACGTACGTTGGTCCAACGGGTGTAACAGATGCGCAGTTCCAGCTATGAATGGAGATGTCACTACAGGTTACTATAATATAGATATAATATACATATAGGGATATGCAAGGATGATATTCTATAACTTATGGATACTATAATGGAGATATTCCCATAATTCTCCCCAGAAAGATCACCGATCACCCCACTACATGGAAAACCGCAAAGCGCGCTCCGCCTCCTCAATTCCTGTCAGGGCCATGGCGGGATCTGACGCACCATCAGGAAAAAACATTCAGAAACAAATTAAAAACGTAAATGATGGGTATGATAATAGATGAAATAATTAATTATAGATCATGATCATTTAAAGATTTAAAGATGATCGATCATTATAGATGATGATTGAGTTTATTCACCATGATGATTATCGATGATCATATGATCATATGATCATGATCCCTGTCTATCATGATGAATAATGATCATCTATAGTGATTATGTATAGATCTATAATGATGATCTCTCTCTCTCCCTCTGATAACATATTTAGCGATAATATTGAGGAAAATAATGATCATAAAATAATGGGAATTGCACGTATAACAGTAATAATGGGAAGATTATGACATATTAAGATGGCAATTCCCATAATAACAAGCTGATAATAATTAATTAATAGTAAAATAATTTGCCACCCAAGAATATATATATATAACTATAACCATCAAAAAAAAGAAATGTAATCAGAACATAATGGGTATATAGTGACGGTCTTCATATCCATGCAAATATGTTTGTATAATAAATATGTAAATGTTTATATATATACACATAATTATATACATATATGGAATATAATTTGATCGATATAACACCACAAATCATGGTTGGTGGTTTGTTGGCTCCTACTAATAGTGTAATCTTTAACAAGATGATCAATAGTCGGCAATCCCATCTAATGCCTAAAGGGCCGAAATCCCGAGTGCATTGCTACAATCCATCCAGCAGTGGTTATTATGCTCCAACCAATAACATGTTCCCTAGTGGTAGTGAAGAGGAAAATGATGGGACATGTTTCCTCGTGGTGGGTTTTCTTTGTTCTGTTGGGTCACTGGAACGTGCTCAAACTTCCAAGGACATCACATGAATCCGATGGTCATTTTATGAGTTTTAGGGTGGTGTTCCATACTTAACCATCATCTATCGATTTCTGCGGTTGTTTGCAAATTCTCCTGAGTTGCTTGCTCATGTTCCTAAGATAAAATGAAAAATCATAGCCAACAAGCATAAAAAATCATGCTGCTTAAAATCACGGATGGATGGGATGTTTTCTCATGATTTACCCAAGTTCCCGCAAAACATTGGTATATGGTATATGGTAGTTAATGGAATTTCAACTGATTAGATTTAATGGGATTTAGTATGGACATTTAAAGGTATGGAATCCCCGTATACCACATATTTACATTTATATATATATAAGAAATTAATCAACTATATCAACAATTGTCCCGTTAATGGAGCAATTGAATATATTGGATATCAAATGAACATTCACCCATCTTCACCAATCTTTCACAAAGGTTTCTGCTGGAACTGGGTCTCCCCCACGTCGCCGGCACCAGGCAAAGGAAAGGGATGGAAGCAAGTTCCAGCGCAGGAGCCTAATCTGATGCGTGTCTCTCTTTCTATCGATCCGTCTATTTGTTTATCTCTCCATCTATCTACCTACAAATATCTATGTGTAAATGTGTATATATATATAGTCAGTCTTCCTCTCTCTCTCTCTCTCTCTCTTTCTCCCTCAGCGAAACTCTTAGCGCACGTGTATGTACAAATATATGCCTTATATGTTTGTTTACATGCGCTAGGTGCATTTGTGCGCCTGTGCGCTGCCATAGCATATATATATATATGTATATATATTTATTCATATTTTCTATTTATTTATGTATGTATTTGTCAATTTATGCATGTATTAATCTATTTTACAAATGTATATACACATGCATGTGCAAGCGTTCGTAGATGTCCAACATGCGCCAGGTCAGGTCGTTCAAATCAGCCAGTTGTGTATGACAAGCAGATGCACAAATCAGTGCTGCTGGATGCTGCTGGTATCCTGGATGCTGCTGGTATCCTGGATGCCTATGGGAGGCATAGCTACCTGGCCACACTTGATTTTACCACTTCGAACTCTTGAGGCCCGCATGCAGTGCCCTTCGCAAAATGGTTTCTGTATGTTTCTGTCATCTGACGAGCGACCTGTGTTGCCAGTGTTGGACCAGGCAGTTCCACAGGGAGATCCTGCGGGACCACTCATGGCCTCTTAGCTCCGGCCTGAGATACATCCGTAGGAACCTCATGTTGCTGGCGCTGCTAGCTACATGGATGATAGGTCACGAGCACCACTGCCAGTGGTTGACACGATCAAGGGATGGGCTGACTGGTCTGCAACAGGCCTTAAAGCGAAAAAGGCCAATGTACGGCCGCTCTTCAAGCGTGTTTGCACAATCAAAACATGTTTGTCCATGAAGCTACATTCTTGGGACAACCTGTGCCTCATCGCAGTGACAAAGAAGATGCTCGTGTGGCTGCAGGTACTCAGTACAGGCTTCTGGCTACGCTCTGGCTTTCAGCTGAAAAATATGCATTTTACTCTCGATACTTTGCCATCAGCAAGGTCACATATGGCTGGCTTGGTCGCTCTCCAACTAGCGGGCTGTGCACGAAGCTTTGGAATGCTTTGAAGGCAGGTCAAAGGGTGACCTTCATGGCAAACAAGTGGGTCCGGGCTATGGTCCATGGAGGACTCAACCACCTCGATGTCCTTGCGGCTGCAAACCTTCTTCGTGTATGGCATCTGGACCAAGGGTCAAGCTACATGGAATTCCATTGGTGGTACGCCTGTGGCGACGCGGAGAAAATGGATGTGTGACACAGGTTGGAATGAAGCAGGGCCGTGGCACTGGGCCCATGAATTTCATGTTGACCTCTGTAAGCATCTGCTGAGAGATGGCTGGCGGTTGTGGTGTTGGGACCAGGTTCTTCACACTTCCCGTAAGTGCGTGGTTTGCACCATACTCAAGCTAAAGACATCTAAAGACCTTTTGTCATTAGACTGGAACCTCATTCGTCAAGTTGCTGATACCAGTGCTGGTTGCAGAACTGTTTCAGTTGGGGCTAGCGTGTCTCCCGCATGGAGGCAAGAGACGTGTCCTTTTTGCAAGGGTACTCTTGGGTCATGGCAACACCTTGCATGGTACTGTAACGCAAGCCCAGTTGCTAATCTGAGGCCGCAAATGCCTGCTAAGGCTATCCCTTGGAAATCCTGAGATACTTAGGACAGGTACAACATGCATTGTGGGATGCGTTTCACAATGCTGATCCCGCTGGCGCTGATGCACATGATGAAGCTGACAAAGCGGCGGCAGCGAGCGAAGACCAGCGGCTCCGGCTGCCGGTGGTGCGTTGGATTGGCGGCGTTATCACTGCATCAAATGATGATGATCAACCAGGTCGTGACTGAGATGCTTATAGGCCGAGCACCACCAAAAGATAGACATTTTCTCCAGGCCTGAAAAACCAACAATATATATAATATAATATATGATGAACAATCAAAATATATCTATATAATTCTAAATAATGGTGAAAAAAACACACATCCCCAGTCAGAAGCCAACTCATCCCATCTGCAAAATCGCCAAGCTGCATCGGCACTTCATCATCCAACTCGACCAGAGTCATGGCATCTTCGAAGCTCAGCTCCTCGACTCTCAGCTAGGTCAGGTCACCCATAGCTGGGTTCATTTATGGATGCCGCCCGCAGTTAATATACCATCATAAATAAAAAGCGTGAACATATAGCTGTTATATATATGATGTTATCATACTGCCATTCGGGCCATTCGGGCCATTCGGGCCATTCGGGCCATTCGGGGATGATTACCCCTTACTATCGAATAATTCATCCATATAAATATATATATAATGTATAATTATATACATAATGATATATATATATTATATATATATATTCTTACATGTGTAATTATATGTATATATATATATCCCCACATAATTACATCTCTTGGCTATGACAAATGACCTGGAAAATGTCACCAAGGGGTTGGAGGTGATTGGTTCAAACTGATAGTTGAGGGATGGTACGGTAAATCCCTATGACTGTTGTGGTAAAATACATAACAGTCCCAACTACTACTGGTTAAATATGGTTAAAATCCATTTAAATCCATAATAACCACTTATAATGACTAAAACCGTTATTGTGGCTTAATTGACTTCATTGATGAAATTCGGCTCCAAATGCAATTATTGCTTAACATTTCTTCGTGAACATAACTTTCCACACTGAATAGAAGCGACCCTTTTGGTTTGCGCTTCTCTACGCGCTGACAAATTAAGCCTGTGGCTGTTGTTTGTAAAAGTCAAAGAAATGTTTTGAAAACCATGAGCAAGCCATTTGGTTTTCATGACAAGTTGATACAAATTGGGGGTTGTGTTTGCCGCCCCTTTGATGGACCATGGTGTCTCAATCATAGACCAGCATCAGCAAAATGACACTTTAATGGGAAGAATAACTAATTGGCCATCTGATTTCTGGTATTTGGTTGCGACATGTTGGGACCGTTGTTGAAAACTGGGATCATTCCTAAAGGATGCAAACAGCTAAGTGGCTAGTACATCGACAGCATGATCTTTCGGGTCAAGCCACCGCCGCATTCCGGTATGCCAGTACATCATTCAATAATAGATCCACAAAGGAAAAACAACGTTTACCGGTGCAACTGTTATTCCGACTGCTATCTCTTATGTAGCTGATGCTACTATCTTTTCGAATTGAAATTGGTGACTTCTATCCCTTCTTTGTCTTGGTGAATTGTTATCTGCATAGATCACCATTGCAGGCGCAGCTCCAGGTTGCGCAGCAAGCGTTCACAGGCGGTCATAGGTGCACGTGCAGCCTGGCCAAGGGATTTTGTCATTGGAATGTCGCCAGCGGATGCGAACAAAATGTGATAATATATATGTGTGTATTTCACCAGAGAATCTGGAAAACTTGCGATGAAATAGAGTTGGGATGTAAGCATCGACTGTTTAGAGCGTTGGGCTAGATTAGTTGAAAAGACAATTCACATGTGATTTACGTGCAGTTCTTAGTTGCCAGCGGGTGTTGGTCAACAAAGTGTCTGTTGTGGTTTCCATTCACTGGATTGCTTGAAACGAAATGTTTGCAAGAAACCCACTATTCTTTACGATCAAACATGATTCGTGTATAGCTTCTAGGAGCGGGAAATTTCAAGACATGCTGCTGGTGGTTTTAGGCAGCAAAAGTGGGGGTTGGTAGCAGAAAGAAGTGCAAGAAAATTAACCATGAACATCTGCAATTGGCTACAAAAACCAATGGACCACCTGACAACCCATTCGCTTGAATCAATCTCTAAATTTCTCTCACAAACCCTCCAGAAAGATTGTTGGAAAGTGTACCCTTCGGTGTCATCAAACGTGGCAATTGAAACCCCCATCTATAAATGGATTTCCCATGAAAACCTTCATTTCGCTCGGGAATTCCCAACTAGCCATGCCTTATGACACCGGGTACCCAAAGCAGCGGTCCCCAGCCTGTGGCAGACACGCCTGACCACTTCCAGAAAGGACCTCGGCGCTGAAGTAAGGCCAGTTACGGGACTGATTCCCTGCAATCTACCCATTCAAATCCAGTGACGTCACGACCTGAGGTCATGATCAAATGCATCCAGAATTATGGATGTTCATCCGCCAAAAGTCTTGGGCCCGGGGGTTTTAACCCATACCCATAGTGGACGATGAACATATTGCGGATCTTAACCAGGGATAATAACGATTCATGTTGGATTCATTCAAAAAATGGGATGGGGATTGAAGCAAGTGGAACACAGCAGGTTTCAATATGTTTCAATCATAAATGGTACAAGTAGTAACAGAGTCCCGACGACCCTCAACAGGTTGTTTTTGATATTAAACAGTTGCACCGCCTTGAAAATTCAAAGTACTGATTTCGTGCGTCATCCGTTCCAATCCCAAATCTTCCCTTGAACAGTTCAAACAATTCTTCAATTTTAAGTCCTTTTCCACGCAAACATCCGTTTCCCCTACATGTAGTCCCCCCCAAAGAAAGAAGTACCCACATCTTTTCCAAACAAAATCATCAAACGCTTCCTCACATCAAGTGGATTGATCACGGCTATATACTTGATAATCACCATAAACCACCATAATTATCGATAAATCACCATAAATTAGCTATAAATGATCAATACGTCCCCATTAAAGTATAGCCATTTCTCCATTTCGTTCTCACCGTCCCACCATGTGTTTACCGTCTTGCCGCGGTACGCTCAGCAGCTGCGCCACCTGCAAGGCTTTGCGCAGGTCGCAGCGGCACGCATTGGCCACGGTGTGGCACAGCTGCAGTGGAAGTTCCAACTGCTCCCGCCTGGATCAAAAAGGTGGATCCGCGGCGGATCCGAACATCAATTGTCCTTTTTTTGGGGGTTGGAGATGTTTGATTGGGGTTTAAAATGTGTATATATATATACACTAAAATATGGTATTTTAAGGGATGATGATGATGATGATGATGATGTTGCTGCTGCTGCTGATGATGATGATGATGATAATGACGACGATGACAATAACGATGTTGATGTTGATGATGCTGATGATGATGAGAATGCCGCTGACGATGAAAATGAGGATGGCGATGATGATGATGATGATGATGTTGTTGATGATGGTAATGGCGATGGTGATGGTGATGGTGATGATGATGATGAGGAGGAGGAGGAGGTGGAGGAGGATGACGATGGCGATGGCGATGACGATGACGATGACGATGACGATGATGACACCCCAACTGTTGATGTGAAAGCAATAGATGAAAAGTGACTAACTCCGTTTGTGGCTTCACATGGCTTCACCTTGTTTCACAAAGGTCAAAATGGGTTTGTCTGAACATAGGGCACCCGCGATTCCAACGGGATAAATCTCCAATTCTCCCTCATGCATCCTCAAAAATAAACAGAAACTGAGGGTGCCATGAATCATTTTCAGATTTGTTCAGATACAATATCCAGTCTTATCATTTTGGGACCCCTTCACTTCAACTGGCCCTATGGACTGCAGTGCCGAGGAACTGGGAAATCTCGTGGATTTGTTTGGCCACGAAAGTTTCCTTCGAAGCGGCGCCCGCAGTTGATTCCAAGCCGCCAACTCTAGGCTGGTCATTTTTTAATATATATGCGCAAATAATCAAATAATGAATCTTGGTATAAACTCATCCTCTGGGATTTGAGATGGTTAATATATAAGCTAAGTTCGAGGATCTGAGGTCACAACCAGGTAATTGGCAAGGCAGTTTCCTCACAAGGACTATAGTGTCTATAAGATGTTTAAACCTCCGGGCCCCCAAGCTGTATTTCAACTCGCAATCACCACTTACACCACTTCCTAGGGCCTAGGGTGTCTCAAAATGCAAAGAATTCTAAGGACTGAATCATGGGATTTCTGACCAGTCACTCAGCCACTTGCTACCAGGAAACTGTGAGGCTGATACCTCACGACGCACGCAACAAATCGTGGCGTGGGGATACCCGCACGATGACAACTGCGATGACTGCCGGAGCATTTCGTTCCCAGAATGTATCCCAAGACTCCCAGGGTTTAAAAAACCCACAAGAACTGGCTGTTTTTCTTCGCCTTGCTGGTGATTCCAGCAGGAAAACTTCAAGAACTATCTGTGTCAATACCACCGTCTAACGACTGGGTTCTCAAGGATTCAAAATTATAAAATACGATCAGCACTGCTTCTTTAGGCCTCACAAGTCACACCCCAACCCGCCCATCGCAGTCAATGCAAGGTACGTATCTCCAAAC